TATTCTATTCTATTCTATTCTATTCTATATCCAATTGACAAGAAAACAAAAGCAACCCTCTCCCAAACTACAAAAACTATATGAAACAATCAATGGAGATTAACACCACTCATAATTTTGGAATAAAGAAATGATTTTTGAAAGGGGAAAGTGGTCCTATTTTAGAGTCAAGAATAAAATTAGTTGTCAATACTCACATTTTCCAATTCTTTAATATCTTTCTCCAGTTGTTTATTTTGCTCACTCAGGCTCATCACATGGCTCAGTATAGATTGCCGGGGATGCATTGTGTGATCAAACTGATGATACATGTTTCTCCAAAACCTGTACATATCAACATAATGCTACCTTAATACTCCAACCCAGGTGATGGGTTTATAAAATGCACAATTGAAACTTACTTAAAATTAAAGGCGACTGTATCCGGCTCCAGAACTGAAAGTGACTGTGAAAAATGTTCATTGTAGATTGGATTTAGGTATTTCCTGCGGTCATCCAAAAGAAAAGGCCACAGGGAAAAAGCCTTCTCTTTCAATCTTAAAATAAGGAGAGCCTAGAGTTAATCATTGGTCAGTGGCCGAGGAAGATCTACACTATATCAACATACACAAAAGGTGGGATATTTCTGACAAGAAAGGCATAAAGAGCAGAGTTTAATTACAACTATGAACTACAAAGAACTGTTTTAACACTGCCTTCCTACCAATTCCTACCCTATTAACATTCACTAATTTAAAGAGGACAAAAAAGAGAATACAATACAGATATCTATTCCCTTCCAAAGCTCCTACCCAACAAACCAACTGGGAGGAATTGCAGGATGAGAAATGGCCACCGAAGGGAAGGAAAAAAAAGATATTGAAGGAAGACTTGTGTTCATGTGGCTTTCTTCTATATTAAAGGAATATATTACTCTCAGGAAAATTTTGCACTTATTAAAATCCAAGCAAGCAGATCCCCCCAGCCCCCGGCCAATATATATTAAGAGTTTACTCCATGTGAAAAAGAATTCTAAGCATCAACACTTAAAAGAGCTACCTCACTGTTCAGCCTAGCAAAGCTTGATTTCCATCACTGATTTTATCTGATAGTTTAATATTTAATAGCCCTAAGGGGAAACTCTTTGAGTACTTTTGGCAGTAAAGTGCAGCCATTCCATTAGGCTGTAGCAGAAAGAAAGACTAAGTACTGGAACTCTTTATTTCTCTTTTGCTACCACATTCCATCTCCCCTACCTCTCCTCTCCTCTCCTTCCCCTTTTTTCTTTTTTTGAAAATTTATTTGATTTTTAAACCGTTGTTCCTGCCATACTTTAGACAGTGATTTTTTTTCCCAGGCTGTAAGTACCCTGAAGACAGGGACTTCCTTTCTATATTGATCTGTAAGTACAGTGGGAGGCTTTCTAACTGTAGCATAAAAATGATGGAAAGAAAGACACAAAGGGAGGAGGGAGGAATAAGCGGAGAAGTTCAGTTCTGTGTTACTATATTGTTCCTAAGAGCCTTACTTGAGTTCTTCTCGTTCTTTTTGGCAGTTTCCAATGAAGTTTCCAAACTGGCATGAATGGATGTGCTCATGGATCTGAAGGAGAAAAGCTTCATTGTACTCAAAGGCCTGTGGAAACTGCTCTGTCAGGTGCCAGGCGCATTCTAAAAATTGGGCAAACACGGGGGATATTTCCTTTGGGTCACCATCCAGTTGTCCACATCTATAAAATATAATATTCCTATTAGTTAATGAGAGATGAAAATGATGCGTTTCCCAGAGTACATGAGAATGTTCACTAAGTAGTCTATAAGACTTGTAAAAAATTGTTGAAGCATCCTTTTTAAAACCTTTTTCTGTACTACACTTTAACACAGTTAACAGGGCAATTATTACTCAAGGCACAAAAGAACTTCTAGGCACGCTCACTGGGCTTGTAGCAAGAGAACACAGCACTCCATGCAAAACTGCTTTTTGGAATCCTGACTTCTTTCACAATCAGCCCATCATACCGTGTTTCCCTGAAAATAAGATAGGGTCTTATTTTGCATTTGATTTTGAGGAGCAGGTAGATTGCATAGGGACAAAAGGGACAAAATGATTGCCTTAAGCCTTCCAGAGACTTAGGTATCCGTAACACTCAATGTAAAATCCCAAATCCTCTAAAAGAATCAGTCACCCAACTCCAAAGAAATCTTTAAAAATTCCAACACTATCCAATCTGTTAAAATTAGAGTGTTTGCTTTATTTCCTGTCCTATTTAGGTCCGTTAGCAGGACATACAGAAATGGTTTGCTTGGCCTAGAATAGAATAAACCACAACAATTACATCTGTGGGAGGAAACTGTGCAGCATTTGGAGCCTGGTGAGTCAAATTTAAAAAAAAATAATAATTTTAAGTTCAATTAGAAACATAACAGAAAATAGAATGGGGTAAAAAATGAAGCAAGTAATAATGGCAAAGGTACTTATTGTTAATTGCCTATACCGTCTGGCAAAAAACCCCTTTGCAATAAGGATAGCTCTTCCAGCGAGAGAAAAAGAGGGCGAGAGGGTGCGATCATTTGAACACAACTTGCAACCTGCTAAAAGGGCTGTGCAGCATCCAAAAAATCTGATTAGTTGAGAGTTTTAAGTCAGTTAGTTAAATTGGAAATAAGGCTGCTCAGGTTTACTTTTTCAATCTTTATAAAATCTTGAATAGTATATAAAGTAATCAGTTGTTGTAAAACACGGTAAACATATATTTCCAGTTTAAATTAAATATGTCTGAACAAGATTTGCAATATACAGCCTTATAGAATGCATATTAATTTAACACAATAAGGCACATTACATGAAGAATTCAAATGCAGGCTTTTTAAAGCGAAAAACATTACCTATCTGAAAATTTGTGTCCAAAAGCAATCCAGTCTTTTTCCACCAAAACCTAGAAGAAACCATGTATCAGTTCTTAATCATGTAGTATGCTTTATGTTTTAATTAAAAAAATATTTCCCAAGTCACCATTTTCATTCTGGATTTTCTTAACTCAATGGAGAAAGCAAAACAAATTTTTCACAGCTGGAAAATGAGGACTAAAAGTACTCCTCGCTTACCAAGCATCATATCATATTTAATACTTGTACTGTTTAGCAAAGGAGATGCCAATCCCGACTGTGGTCAGTAAGCAATTATCTATATTGTACATATGTCTTTGCTCTTCTATACAAATACCACAAGTAAAAGAAACATAAAATGCAGGGTTTCAAATAACACTGTAAAGTTCATTAATTACAGAATTTAAAAAAACAAGGCACCAAGGTAATCCCAGATCAAACAGATCTTTAAGATATCTAGTCCAAGTTAATGGATACAACAGACTCAACTGGCATGTTCACAACTTAAAATTAGCATCAGAAACGCATCAATAGCTTGTAATCTCAATTTATTGAGAAAATATCATAATATCTGATTATTATTAATATCTTTATCTGCTTGAAACATTTTTGAAATTATTTATTTTAAAATGCATATGTAGTTAATACCTGATTCTTACTGATTCAATAATTATTTGAATTGGGATCCACTGTATAATTTAATGACATTTGAACCTTAATGCACAGTATTATGTTCAATAACCCCATTATTAAGCAGATGAGCAAATCTAAAATACAAAATTATCGAACTGCAAAGTTGGTCAGCATTAGCATTGAACAAATGTGACTTAAGTTTCACTTAAGCACGCTTACCATGAATCCTTTAATTGTTCTGTAAAAGGGATCCAATAATAGAGAACCCAAGGAACAGACCTGAGATGTCCTGTCCCAGCCATCAGAGCAATGTACTAATACACTTGCGCTCTCAAAAGCTACAGCCTGTGAAAAGAACAAAACTTACTGATGAGTGTATAACAAAGAAAATGAATTCAACTGCTCAACTCAATTAAAATATTTAATTCATTCCAGCCTTTCAAGAACCCTTCAAATGTGCTGGAACTCTTAACTCCCAGAAGTTCTGGCCAACATAAATAGCAATAGCACTTTGACTTCTATGCTGCTTTACAGTGCTTTACAGCCCTCTCTAAGCAGTTTACAGAGTCAGCATAGTGCCCCCCCAAAATTTGGCTCCTCATTTTACCCACCTCGGAAGGATGTAAGACTGAAAGGATCTGTAATCTTTGTCATACTTGAAAGAGATTTTGGGAATACACTGTCAACATATTTATAGGCCAGTGTTTTCAACTTTGGCAACTTTAAGATGTATGGGCTTCAATTCCCAGAATTTTTCATATCATCCCTAGACAGCATATTTATGCCTGGATCTCACCTAATTTGTTCAACATTTATTTATAGTGGATTGTTTAAGGAAAAGAGTAAAATAATGACTCAACCCACAGAACTTTGTTTGCCTTAATAACAAAACATGATTATCACTGCTTAAACTATCAGTTTTGGCTCCTTTACTTTAGGAACACAATGGATTGCCTTATGGCAGATTTGAATGCTCACCAACTAAATATTTAGTTAATGTATGTGACATTAATAGCATATAAATGTAATAAATAATAATAACTGACTTAAACTACTTAAGAAGTCAGGCAGTGGTCAATTATGATTACCATGATATATAAGGTAAAGGTAAAGATTTCCCTCGCACATATGTGCTAGTTGTTCCTGACTCTAGGGGGCGGTGCTCATCTCAGTTTCAAAGCCAAAGAGCCAGTGCTGTCCGAAGATGTCTCTGTGGTCATGTGGCCAGTATGACTAAACACTGAAGGCACATGGAATGCTGTTACCTTCCCACCAAAGGTGACCCCTATTTTCTACTTGCATTTTTTATGTGCTTTCGAACTGCTAGGTTGGCAGAAGCTGGGAGAAGTTACAGGCGCTCACTCCATTATGCGGCGCTAGGGATTTGAACTGGCGAAGTGCCGACTTTTCTGATCGACAAGCTCAGCGTCTTAGCCACCGAACCACTGCATCCCTTACCATAATATATACTTCTTTTTTAAGAAGGCAAATTCCAAACTGAATGTGGGATTTTCTATTTAAACACATATGCTCTGCTACTGAATTATGGATCCTTGAAAAGTTGAAGACTTTAGAAATGAAATTTCCAAATTCCCTTGATCTGATGGTGCTTATTGAAGGCCATCTATATTCTCAAATAAATAACACCAATATCAACAACATTTGACAAATTACTAAATGCAAATTACTTTAGCTAAGAAGATACCAGCATCCAACACTGCTTTGATGTGTCTCAGCCATCCAGAGCTCTCCAAGCCTGAGAGAAAATCATTGACTGAGAGGCCTCTTGTTCCACAAACTAAAATAAAATGAAACATAGATCCATTCAAATGGAGCAGGAGCCTCTCTCTGTGCAAGAATCAAAAGTGGATTTTAACAACTGCATGAAGAAATCTGAATTTCTGAATTTGTTAAATATATGAAGTATTTTTCTCTATTCCAGTTTCTTCTATATATCCTGTTTATGCCCCAATCTGTCTCAAACTCTTGTTTATTAATTGTTAATTCTGCGGAAGCAATCCAGTGTAAAGTTCTTTCATATTATAAGTAACATAATTGTCTTCATAATTCTACTTTAAAAGAGTGCATCCATCATCTTACTAATCCTCAATATGTCCCTACCGTTTAGAATGCATTCCTGTCTTTTATCACTTAAATACTATGAGGAATTATTAATGCAGCCATGCACTTCTTAGATATGATATGAGTCTCCTCAGATGGGCAGATATTGTAAATAGTGCTAATAGCTGCTAAGTTTGAAGGAATCATGAAGGAATAACTTCTTGAGATTCCAGTTAGGTAGCTTCCCACAAGTAATGTTTAAATGACATATTAATTGTATAAATAAATTATAATAAAATAAGTACCTAAATTATGCATTATATTAAATATGTATGTAATTTATACAGTCATATAAATATTTAATAAAACCTCCCATTACTATAGTAGGATGGCAAGCTTTAATAATTTCTTAAGTAATCAGTACATAAATGAAACCATAATAATTGATTAAATGTGTATACTGCATGACTCCCAATGATTCTGCCTTGTTTACATTAAAAATGTAGCTGTTTTAATTGAACTGAAGTATATTGAATAGAAGAAATATCATTAAGAGGATACACTCTCGTAACACTAGAAAGTAGAATTTCACATTAGCAATATCTATAGCATGAGAAATATACTATTTCAGTACATCCTTTGATATGAACTAGATTTATGTAAAATCACTTTTCTCCAAGAGTGCACGCTGTACTCGAGAAATGTTTAATATTAGTGAAGTTGCACATATATTCATACCTTCCAGAAGCTTTTGCAGGCTTGATCTCATTACATGGATATTTTCAATACCAACAAATTGGAATCTAATGTTGGAATAATTATCTTCATTTTCATAGCCTTTACCTGCTGCTCTATTGGCCATTGCATTCAGCTTGGAAAAAAAGAAGGTTTAGTCATGTATAGGAAACAAAGCAATATACAATTATAGTAATTTGTATAATATATCCTGAACAATATGAAACAGAAGAAAACTATTTTTATAACTTGGCTTCCAAGGCTTAGGACTGTTGTGATTTTGCATGATTTCTTTCTCCTAACTCAAATGATTAGCCATATTGACTCCCAATTCAATATCCTCAGATATCTTAGTTTCCTGTAAGTCACTCAGATCCTTTGGAAATAGAGTGGCATTTAATGAAAATAAATAAGGAAAATAAAATAAATAGGATTTCACCACCTATCTGAACAATACAGAATTGAGAGTCATCCTATTCTGTTACTTACAAAGAGGACAACAAAGAATAGTAATCCATGATATATTTAACTATTGGTTATTAAATAAGTTTCGATTAGCTAGCTTCGAAGACATAAGCCACAATTGACAAACCAAAATCTCTCTTGAAGGAAAATGGTTATGCAAAAGGTTTGAGAAATCCAAAAAACAGAACCATGGGCCTAGAAAAAAAATCAGGATTTCTTTAGGATTTGAAAAGGAGTGTTTCATATGAACATTTTGAAGCACCTCTTTCAAAGAATGTGTAAACTCCCAAAAGAGAAATGATGATCATATTGCTCATAAGGTAAAGATAAAAGTTCCCCTCGCACATATGTGCTAGTCGTTCCTGACTCTAGAGGACGGTGCTCATCTCCATTTCAAAGCCAAAGAGCCAGCGTTGTCCAAAGATGTCTCCATGGTCATGTGGCGAGCATGACTAAATGCCAAAGCACACGCAGCGCTGTTCCCTTCCCAACAAAGGTGGTCCCTATTTTTCTACTTGCATTTTTACATGCTTTCAAACTACTAGGTTGGCAGAAGCTGGGACATGTAATGGGAGCTCACTCTATTATGTGATGCTAGGGATTCAAACCACTGAACTCCTGACCTTTCTGACAAGCTCAGCGTTTTAGCCTCTGAGCCCCCGCATCCCTTTATATTGCTCATACTAGATCCTAAAAGAAATCCAGGACAGTAGGGATTACAACAATCCAATTTTGATCCTTTCCATCTAAGAAGTTGGTAATACTGCTATGCAACACTTTGGACTTGGTTCCAGAGAGATTCTTTTTATCAGAATTAGGGGACTAATCTCCAATTCCAAAGGAATCTAATCATTTCTGGAACTGTGCAATTGTCATATATTCCTAGGAAAATGTTTGCATTAAAGCATTCCTGACAGAGCTGCAGTTGCAAAATACATTTCAAAACACTTTTTTTACAAACAGAAGGTGAGCCACTGCATGACCCTATTTATAAAATACCACAAATCAATAAGTAGGAACAAAATAACAATAACAATTTATTAGACATATATGCTGCTTGATACCCAGCGACTCTGGTCAGTTTACAATTACTCTTAAAATATTAAAAAAAGAGCAAAACCCCAAGAATAAAGACAGTTAAGAATGCCAAAACCAAACAGAAGAAAAGAAAAACCCAGCTACAAACTTACTTTTGGTCTGGTGTCCATGACATACATATAGTGGTTATTGGGATTAGCTTTACTTATTGCTTGCAACATGTGTTCATCCTCCAGACATCTGGCACTGAATCCTGAGAGAGGCTGACTACATCTGCAAATGGCAGCCTGGTGGAAAAAAATGGGGGTATATATAAAGAAAAGGTTGCACTTTAAACTGGTGAAGGCAGGTACAGCAAATCAGTGTGTAGCTATCTTGCAATATAACAAAAAAGTCATATTGGGGGACTAAGGCTCTAATCTGTACTTGAAAAAAAAGGGGGGGAGGGGAATATGCTCAGATTTTCTATAATGATAGATTTAAAACACAAATACATCTTATGTTTGCTGCAGAAGTGGATTTGCAAATATAGTTGATTTGCATCAGTGTCATTGATCCT